CAAGCAATTTGAGAGTACTGCATGGGAATACATAGTCCTCGATCAAGATCAGTTAATAATTAGTACTACATGGCAATACATAGTCCCCTACTGTTTAATAAATAGTACTGCATGGGAATACATAGTCCACTACTGTTTAATAATTAGTACTGCATGGCATTACACTGTCCACTACCGGTTAATGAAAATATATACAGGCAGGATGATTACAAAAACAAGCATTCTAAGAGTATTGCATGGCATTACATAGTCGCCTACCCGTTAATAAACATATTTTCAGGCAGGATGATATCAAAAACAAGCATTCTGAGAGTACTGCATGGCAATACATAGTCCCCTACTGATTAAGAAAAAACATATCTACAGGCAGGATGATTACAGAAACAATTAGTCTGAGAGAACTGCATTGTAATACATAGTCCACTATCGGTTAATAATTAGTACTGCATGGCAATACATAGTCCCCTACTGTTTAACAACTAGTTCTGCATGGGAATACATAGTCCACTACCGGTTAATAATTAGTATTGCATGGCAATACATAGTCCACTACCGGTTAATAATTAGTACTGCATGGCAATACATAGTCCCCTACTGTTTAACAACTAGTTCTGCATGGGAATACATAGTCCACTACCGGTTAATAATTAGTATTGCATGGCAATACATAGTCCACTACCAGTTAGTAGTTAATACTACATGGCAATACATAGTCCCCTACCAGTTAGTAGTTAATACTACATGGCAATACATAGTCCCCTACCAGTTAGTAGTTAATACTACATGGCAATACATAGTCCCCTACCAGTTAGTAGTTAATACTACATGGCAATACATAGTCCCCTACCAGTTAGTAGTTAATACTACATGGCAATACATAGTCTCCTACCAGATAATAATAAGTACTGCATTGCAATACATAGTCCTCTACTGTTTAACAACTAGTTCTGCATGGGAATACATAGTCCACTACCGGTTAATAATTAGTATTGCATGGCAATACATAGTCCTCTACCAGTTAGTAGTTAATACTACATGGCAATACATAGTCCCCTACCAGTTAGTAGTTAATACTACATGGCAATACATAGTCCCCTACCAGTTAGTAGTTAATACTACATGGCAATACATAGTCTCCTACCAGTTAGTAGTTAATACTACATGGCAATACATAGTCCCCTACCAGTTAGTAGTTAATACTACATGGCAATACATAGTCTCCTACCAGTTAGTAGTTAATACTACATGGCAATACATAGTCCCCTACCAGTTAGTAGTTAATACTACATGGCAATACATAGTCTCCTACCAGTTAGTAGTTAATACTACATGGCAATACATAGTCTCCTACCAGTTAGTAGTTAATACTACATGGCAATACATAGTCCCCTACCAGTTAGTAGTTAATACTACATGGCAATACATAGTCTCCTACCAGTTAGTAGTTAATACTACATGGCAATACATAGTCCCCTACCAGTTAGTAGTTAATACTACATGGCAATACATAGTCCCCTACCAGTTAGTAGTTAATACTACATGGCAATACATAGTCCCCTACCAGTTAGTAGTTAATACTACATGGCAATACATAGTCTCCTACCAGTTAGTAGTTAATACTACATGGCAATACATAGTCTCCTACCAGTTAGTAGTTAATACTACATGGCAATACATAGTCCCCTACCAGTTAGTAGTTAATACTACATGGCAATACATAGTCCCCTACCAGTTAGTAGTTAATACTACATGGCAATACATAGTCCCCTACCAGTTAGTAGTTAATACTACATGGCAATACATAGTCCCCTACCAGTTAGTAGTTAATACTACATGGCAATACATAGTCTCCTACCAGTTAGTAGTTAATACTACATGGCAATACATAGTCTCCTACCAGTTAGTAGTTAATACTACATGGCAATACATAGTCTCCTACCAGTTAGTAGTTAATACTACATGGCAATACATAGTCTCCTACCAGTTAGTAGTTAATACTACATGGCAATACATAGTCCCCTACCAGTTAGTAGTTAATACTACATGGCAATACATAGTCTCCTACCAGTTAGTAGTTAATACTACATGGCAATACATAGTCCCCTACCAGTTAGTAGTTAATACTACATGGCAATACATAGTCTCCTACCAGTTAGTAGTTAATACTACATGGCAATACATAGTCCCCTACCAGTTAGTAGTTAATACTACATGGCAATACATAGTCCCCTACCAGTTAGTAGTTAATACTACATGGCAATACATAGTCTCCTACCAGTTAGTAGTTAATACTACATGGCAATACATAGTCTCCTACCAGTTAGTAGTTAATACTACATGGCAATACATAGTCCCCTACCAGTTAGTAGTTAATACTACATGGCAATACATAGTCCCCTACCAGTTAGTAGTTAATACTACATGGCAATACATAGTCCCCTACCAGTTAGTAGTTAATACTACATGGCAATACATAGTCCCCTACCAGTTAGTAGTTAATACTACATGGCAATACATAGTCTCCTACCAGTTAGTAGTTAATACTACATGGCAATACATAGTCTCCTACCAGTTAGTAGTTAATACTACATGGCAATACATAGTCCCCTACCAGTTAGTAGTTAATACTACATGGCAATACATAGTCCCCTACCAGTTAGTAGTTAATACTACATGGCAATACATAGTCCCCTACCAGTTAGTAGTTAATACTACATGGCAATACATAGTCTCCTACCAGTTAGTAGTTAATACTACATGGCAATACATAGTCCCCTACCAGTTAGTAGTTAATACTACATGGCAATACATAGTCCCCTACCAGTTAGTAGTTAATACTACATGGCAATACATAGTCCCCTACCAGTTAGTAGTTAATACTACATGGCAATACATAGTCCCCTACCAGTTAGTAGTTAATACTACATGGCAATACATAGTCCCCTACCAGTTAGTAGTTAATACTACATGGCAATACATAGTCTCCTACCAGTTAGTAGTTAATACTACATGGCAATACATAGTCTCCTACCAGTTAGTAGTTAATACTACATGGCAATACATAGTCCCCTACCAGTTAGTAGTTAATACTACATGGCAATACATAGTCTCCTACCAGTTAGTAGTTAATACTACATGGCAATACATAGTCTCCTACCAGTTAGTAGTTAATACTACATGGCAATACATAGTCCCCTACCAGATAATAATAAGTACTGCATTGCAATACATAGTCCCCTACCAGTTAGTAGTTAATACTACATGGCAATACATAGTCTCCTACCAGTTAGTAGTTAATACTACATGGCAATACATAGTCCCCTACCAGATAATAATAAGTACTGCATTGCAATACATAGTCCCCTACCAGTTAGTAGTTAATACTACATGGCAATACATAGTCTCCTACCAGTTAGTAGTTAATACTACATGGCAATACATAGTCCCCTACCAGTTAGTAGTTAATACTACATGGCAATACATAGTCCCCTACCAGTTAGTAGTTAATACTACATGGCAATACATAGTCCCCTACCAGTTAGTAGTTAATACTACATGGCAATACATAGTCTCCTACCAGTTAGTAGTTAATACTACATGGCAATACATAGTCTCCTACCAGTTAGTAGTTAATACTACATGGCAATACATAGTCCCCTACCAGTTAGTAGTTAATACTACATGGCAATACATAGTCCCCTACCAGTTAGTAGTTAATACTACATGGCAATACATAGTCTCCTACCAGTTAGTAGTTAATACTACATGGCAATACATAGTCCCCTACCAGTTAGTAGTTAATACTACATGGCAATACATAGTCTCCTACCAGTTAGTAGTTAATACTACATGGCAATACATAGTCTCCTACCAGTTAGTAGTTAATACTACATGGCAATACATAGTCTCCTACCAGTTAGTAGTTAATACTACATGGCAATACATAGTCTCCTACCAGTTAGTAGTTAATACTACATGGCAATACATAGTCCCCTACCAGATAATAATAAGTACTGCATTGCAATACATAGTCCTCTACCGCATAATATTTATTACAGCATGGGAATACGTAGTCCCCTACTGTTAAAAAAAACATTATACTTGAACTATAACTTGTCATGGTGAAAACTATATAACAAAATATTAAATTAATATCTACAAGCATAACGGAAAAGAGTGTGGAAAACTGATTATTTGTGTGAATTTTCCAAGGAACAGACCTGTGCAAAATAAATCATCAGACCGGAACAAAATTTGAACTTAAGCTGTAACTGGTCATGATAAAACTATATACCAAATATCAAATCAATATCTTTAAGCATGAATAAAAAGTGTGGAAAACTTATTTGCTGGACTGACGAATGGACAGACAGATTGCAAACCAAAAGTCCCCTTCGACTTCGTCGGTAGGGGACTTATAATCATTAGGAATTGGAACATAGAATAAAAGGGCGTAATACTGAAAAATACATCTTTTAAACCTTTTTGCATTATTTGAAATGTTAAGTTCATGGGGGTGAGCAATCTAAAAGGTGTAACGTTAAATTAACAGGTACAATTTTACGGCAACAAAAAATTTAAAGACAACGTCAAGGTCGTATCACATATTTAAGGTAAACTTATATACTAATGTCATTGATTCCACACTAATTGATATCTAATATAGTGTGGCACAAACCTCAAGCGTGAAACTTGTTCTGACCAATAATGTTTGAAAATAATATCTTATGCAAGACATTTAATACATGTAACCAACCCATATAAAAAAAAACATAAAATGTTGACATATTGAATAGAAACAAATGAAATAGATTATCCGAAGAAAAAAAAAAACGAAACCTATTCCTTAGCATCAATTATCAATAGAATTGACATAGTTTTGTAATGCGGATAGTTTTATTATTATATTTGCAATTCAAGGAACACTTATTATACCTCTTCCTTAAGTTATAAATGTACAATACATAATTTGATAAATCCAGTTTATTGGACTAGTTTACCTGGCACAGTGTGTGGGTAGTCAAATCCATATCTTGTAAAGCTTTTGCTATGTTACTGAATCTTCCTGAATACTTTTCTCTCCAGGCGACTAGTACTCTATACTTAACAATGTCGACAAATTCATAATCAGATCTGAGTTTTCCCCATTCGTGTAAAGTAATACCAAGATGTATAGCCAACTCTCTTATTAAGGTTTCCTCACATCGTGATGAAAATCGTTGAAGTTCAATATCACTTGGAATCTGATTTAAGGCATCTTCTTGTAAACCTAAATTTGAATAAATTGCTACATAATGCAAATACGGTAAACAATAACCCTTACAAGTTGCATTTTGTAAATACAGCTGTTTCACAAACCATGCCTCTTTATGGGAGATATATAATATTCATAGATAAATTGATTTGTTTATGTACTGGTTCCCAGATATGATCTCTATGTTTCATCTCATAGAGACATAACGTGGGAATGTTACCAGTATAAATTAAAAAATATAGCAGCAGCCTTGAATTCAATGGGAGACCAAAAGTGGAGGTAGGGGTAGTACAGAATTTAAGTACAATTTTAACATGTTTACACTCTTAGAAGTTCGGGGCATATAAATGTTGAAAAAATGCCACACATCCCTATATTTTGACCATTGAAAAAAATAGTAGTGCATATGAGCTTTCCATTCTAGGATATAATTTTTTCGAAACTTCATAGTAAAAGTTGTACAGTGTTAGCCATAAAAGGAGTTCCTATTGGAAATTGCATTGTCAATATTTACAGAAATGCAACCGACAATAACATTTATATTATGTATGATCTATCATATGTTATTCTATCTGTGGTACAAGTGTACAGAAAGTATGAATGTTTGACCTGAATATCCATATCACGAAATATTAGTCAATGGTTGTCCTATATGTGGAGCAAATACACAGAACGTATGAACGTTTGACCTGAATATCCATGAAATGTTAGTCCTTGGTTGTCCTATCTGTGGTGCAAATACAAAGAGGTATGACCTGAATACCCATGACATATTAGTTACTGTTTGTCCGATTTGTGGAGCAATTTCATTGAAAATATGAACGTTTGACCTGAATACCCATAAAATAGTAGTCAATGATTGTCCTATCTGTGGAGCAAATACACAGAAAGTTTGAACGTTTGACCTGAACACCCATGAAATAGTAGTCATTCGGTGTCCTATCTGTGGGACAAATACACAGAAAGTATGACTGTTAGACCTGAATACCGTTATTTTGGTTGTAGTTTTTTGGTTTATTTGGCGCTTTCAATGAAAGTGCCAAAATTAAACACACGAAAATAAATCAAACATTAAAAATTGAAACGCCAAAATCGTGTACCGGTATGACAATATCGTAATGTTAATTGTTGGGGAAAATATTTTATGTTTTTATATCTTCCGTATATTTCCTACAATTCTATACATAGCCAAATCTGCAAATAAATACTTGGTATAATTTGACAACAACACTATATAATGTTAACCTAAATGTCAATTTTCTGAAATTGTTAAGAAAACACAACATGAATTTTTATTCACACATGTCATAAATATGCCAGGCTTTTGCTGATTAGATGCCATTATTGGTAATTAGAATATCAAAACTCCTTGTAATTCTTTATCTTCAATTAATTAAGATGTACTGCCAGAGGCATTAGGATTAAAATTTAAATCCTTGATCGTCAATAGATTAACATGTACTGCAATAGAGATGATTATAAAATTTATGTCATATGATATTTGTAAAAACTAAATAATCTATTTAAAAAGTGATTTTAATGTTTAAGATTTTATTTCATATTTTCTTTCAGGTTTGAACCCCGATATACGGAATTATTGGCGATTGCATCCGTATCCGATTCCTTCATTAAGTTAACTTTGTCGTGTTTCTAGTTTGAAAATTCAATGAGATTTTGTCAATAAATGGGAAAATAAAGGCAAATATGAATGAGCTTGCTCACTACTCTTGTTCCAAAATTAAACATATCAATTGGATGAAACACCAAAATTACACACACCAAAATAAAACACATGCCTTTCGAGAGAAAACCGCCAAAATATCCCGACGCCAAAATTTCCCAATTTACGGTACCCATTAAATAATAGTCTATAGTTGTCCTATCTGTGGAGCAAATACACAGAAAGTTTGGACTTTTGACCTGAATACCCATGAAATAGTAGTCACTGGTTGTCCTGCCTGTGGTGCAAATACACAGAAAGTATGAATGTTTTACCTGAAAACCCATGAAATATTAGTCATTATTTGTTCCATCTGTGGTGCAAATACACAGAAAGTATTCTTTTTTTCAAAAATATAATAAAAAGTATGGGTCACCGTACTATTTTTCAAGCTACCAGCCAAGCAAAATTGTCAAAACTTGCAGAGACTGTTCATATATATAAAAAAAATTGTAAATAAAAAGAAATCTATGAGATAGAATTTTGAAATAAAATTTGAGGAGATAGGTTTTGAAATATGCTTTAGAATTCTTCGACTGTTTTATAAATTTTTCGGGGCCTTTTATAGCTGACTGTGCGGTATGAGCTTTGTTCATTGTTCATTGTACAGTGACCTATAGTTGTTAATTTCTGTGTCATTTGGTCTCTTGTGGAGAGTTGTCTCATTGGCAATCATACCACATCTTCTTTTTTATATTTATGAAACTAAAAGGTAAAAATAGTGTCACTGAACTTGCTTTCTTGCTACAAGTAAAATTTCTAAATTTCTCATTCCATTATGAAAAATTAACTCTTTGAGTTATTTTCCCTTAAATGACTCAAATTGACAATTTGATTCGAATAACTAACCCAAACATTTGATATCAGATAAATCAGTCTAAGTAATGCAACAAGTCATTTATTTTTCTTTATTCCAATATACAGTAAAACCAATTATTTGCAAATATGTTTAAAATTTGTAGATTCAAGCAAATAACCAAACATATTGATTACCACTATATACATAAAGATGGCAGTTAATCTACAGTACCTTAAAGGGGTCTGTAATTAAGACATACTAGTTTTTGTACCTTTTCAAACTGTACAAAATAACTACTTTACCTACAAATTCATGCCATATATTTTTTTTAAATGTAATTTCATCCCCCTCCTTATACATAAAATATCAAGAAATAAATTTGGAAGATGCTTGCAAAAATGTGCAAGTTATCCACTGTCCTAAATAAGGACTCTGATTTCCAATTTAGAATCCGTTACATCTGCTTGGACACTCGACTGAGGGGTCAGTGTATTCTATTCTGCTTCAGATGCCTCAATATTGTTTGCACACAGAAGTAAGGGGCCAGGGTATGATATTTTACTTCAAATCCTTTAATATATTGTGGATACACACCAGAAGGGTCATTACATTTTATCCTGCTATAGATCCCTTAACATTGCTTGCACTTAGAAATGAAGGGTCAGGTTAAGTTATTCTGTTTCAAATCTTTGATATTGCTTGGACATAGAACTGAAGGGTCAGGATATGTTATTCTGCTCCAGATCCCTTGACATTGCTTAGACATAGAACTGAAGGGCGAAGGATATATCATTCTGCTTCAGATCCCTTGACATTGCTTGGACATAGAAGTGAGGGGTCAGGATATGTTATTCTGCTTCAGATCACTTGACATTGCTTGGACATAGAAGTGAGGGGTCAGGATATGTTATTCTGCTCCAGATCCCTTGACATTGCTTGGACATAGAAGTGAGGGGTCAGGATATGTTATTCTGCTTCAGATCTCTTGACATTGCTTGGGCATAGAACTGAAGGATCAGGATATGTTATTCTACTTCTGATCCCTTGACATTGCTTGGACATAGAACTGAAGGGTCAGGATATGTTACTCTGCTTCAGATCCCTTGATATTGCTTGGACATAGAACTGAAGGGTCAGGATATGTTACTCTGCTTCAGATCCCTGGACATTGCTTGGACATAGAACTGAAGGGTCAGGATATGTTACTCTGCTTCAGATCCCTGGACACTGAGGGGTCAAGATCTCTTGACATTGCTTGGACATAGAAGTGAGGGGTCATGAAATGTTATTCTGCTTCAGATCCCTTGACATTGCTTGGACATAGAAGTGAGGGGTCATGAAATGTTATTCTGCTTCGGATCCCTTGACATTGCTTGGACATAGAAGTGAAGGGTCAGGATATGTTATTCTGCTTCAGATCACTTGACATTGCTTGGACATAGAACTGAGGGGTCAGGATATGTCATTCTGCTTCAGATCTCTTGACATTGCTTTGACATAGAACTGAGGGGTCAGAATATGTTATTCTGCTTCAGATCTCTTGACACTGCTTGGACATAGAACTGAGGGGTCAGGATATGTTATTCTGCTTCAGATCTCTTGGCATTGCTTGGACATAGAACTGAGAGGTCAGGATATGTTATTCTGCTTCAGATCTCTTGGCATTGCTTGGACATAGAACTGAGGGGTCAGGATATGTTACTCTGCTTCAGATCCCTTGACATTGCTTGGACATAGAACTGAAGGGTCAGGATAAGTCATTCTGCTTCAGATCAGTTGACATTGCTTGGACATAGAACTGAAGGGTCAGGATATGTCATTCTGCTTCAGATCCCTTGACATTGCTTGGACATAGAACTGAGGGGTCAGGATATGTTACTCTGCTTCAGATCCATTGACATTGCTTGGACATAGAACTGAAGGGTCAGGATAAGTCATTCTGCTTCAGATCAGTTGACATTGCTTGGACATAGAACTGAAGGGTCAGGATATGTCATTCTGCTTCAGATCCCTTGACATTGCTTGGACATAGAACTGAGGGGTCAGGATATGTCATTCTGCTTCAGATCCCTTGACATTGCTTGGACATAGAACTGAAGGGTCAGGATATGTCATTCTGCTTCAGATCCCTTGACATTGCTTGGACATAGAACTGAGGGGTCAGGATATGTCATTCTGCTTCAGATTCACTCAAATGGCTTGGGCCAGTCACAAGTCACCAAAGTTTCATGAAAACTACTTAAACTACAATCTATCGATACCTCTATCTTGGCATTGCACAAGGTCATGTTTTTCTCTGACTGTTTATGACGTCTTTACACTAAATCCATTGGATGTTGGATGTGTACGGATTGATAATTTAGTCTTAGATGCATGATTTTTTTTATTAGTTGTTAGTGGCTTTGAACTAGCTGTCAGTAACTGCGAGTACTCTCAGATCTGTACTTAGTATTTTTTTGTTGTTTGGATGTACAAGTACCTGACAACGTCCACTTTAATTGTAGTATTTGTATTTTTATCCATCTGATGAGTTAAGACTCTTTCAACTGATTTTTATAGTTCGTTCTTATGTTGTACTGTTACACCACTGTCCTAGGTTAGGGGAAGGGTTGGAATCCCGCTAACATGTTTAACCCAGCCACATTCTGTTTGTATGTGCCTGTCCCAAGTCAGGAGCCTGTAATTCAGTGGTTGTCGTTTGTTTATGTGTTACATATTTGTTTTTCCTTCATTTTTTGTACATAAATTAGGCCGTTAGTTTTCTTCCGTTTGAATTGATTTACATTGTCATTTCGAGGCTTTTATAGCTGACTGTGCGGTGTGGGCTTTGCTCATTGTTGAAGGCCATACGGTGACCTATAGTTGTTAATTTCTGTGTCATTTGGTCTCTTGTGGAGAGTTGTCTCATTGGCAATCATACCACATCTTCTTTTTTATAATTAAAGCACTTTTGAGTTAATGTCTGAAAATAGAAAAATCACCCCTTTTTATGAATAAAATCTCAGAAAACTAAAATCTAATATTTATTAAAAATTTAAAGGGAGCTCCCATCAAAAGATACAAATTGGTGAAAGTGTTTTTGAGTTATTGTCCGAAAACTGAAAAATCATCCTTTTTTAATGAATAAAACCCCATAACTCAAAAACCTAAAATATTTAAAAATTGAAAGGTACGTCAATAGTTATAAACAATTCAACAAAGTTTCATGCAAATTGGTTAAAGCGTTTTAGAGTAATTGTCCGACATGTGGATGACAGACGGACAACAGACAATTGTAACCCATAATAGGTCCCGTAAACGGACGTATAAAAAACTATTCACACCATATTTTTGCATTAGTAAGTACTTATTCTGTAGTTATACTATTTACCTTGACAGTTTAATTCACATTCTTCTTTTGCCTGAAAAAAAAATATATTGTTGGATACAATAATTAATATTTACAAAGTGCAAAGGATACAGAAGTCTGAGGTTAAGATTTATTTTATTCATATTTTATTCATAGTTAAGCAATGGCAAAATTGTTAGCATTGCCTTTTAATTTGAATATAAATGTATAAAATTTGTTTCAGAGTGATAATAAACAAAATTATTAGTCCGATTGTTTATAACATGTATAATGTGATGGCTCACAGCCTTCATGTGCAAATCAATGGCATGTAACATAACAGTTTTTTTTTCAAACCCAGAGTCCATCAGTGATATACAGAGTGAAGCTCGTTCTTTTTTTTATAAATTCCTTGTCAGATAAATAACACACAAATTTTCTTGCAAGATTAGTTACTCTGGATTTTATCTTATGAGGAATAAGTTACAAAGGAATTTATCTTGTGAGATATTAGTTACACGGGAATTTATCGTGTGAGATATTAGTTACATGGGAATTTATCTTGTGAGAAATTAGTTACACAGGAATTAATCTTGTGAGTTTGTAATGTTAACCGTTCTTTTATCTTATTTAACATTTCATGCATGTTGTTTTCTATTTTTGGAGATTGCATAAGCCAACTATAAGTCAGCACTGTGTGACTTGATTCAATATCAACTTAATAGTTCTATTTATTATACCTGATCTTGATTCCAAATATTCCACTTGTCTTTGGTATGTACAATCTTATGTTTATCACAGATCCATTCATCAGTTGTCAATGCTGCCTCTTCAGTTATATGGCATTCTAACCTGAAGCATGTATATTCAATGTGGAAGGGTAGTTTTTGGCTGCTGGAGGAGACATGGACTGTGGACCTATAGAACTCTGAGATTCTCTCCAATGTTGTAAACATGCATTCCTTGATACCAGTGGCAATATCTGGTACTATCAGTCCATTGGAGGTTTCATGGACTATGTAGAGAAATATCTTGTTACCTTCAACACATACAACAATATCATGTGCTTTATCAAATGATAAACCAATGAATCCTGAAAACAGGAGTTGTTTTCCTTCATATGTCTTCACGGTCCACATACTGAGACATGCGCTAATGAGACGATTTGGTAAGGCTGGTGGTATAATAGTCCCTTTGAAAACAAAAGCTAGACTGATTGCTTTCTCTGGTGTGCATTCATGGGTCATGAATCTTGTGTCATTTCTTTGAGTGAGCATACAGGGAACAAAGAAGTTTTCCACTGGTAACCGACTTCCCGTATTTATATCATATCTACGTTGCTCTGATAGAATATCAAGGTGGATGAGCATATCAAATATGAACTCTTTGTAGGGTGATATTTTATTGAAGTGCTTTTGTTCCCAAATAAGATAAAGATCTTTTCTTTGTACTATTCCACTTTCTGACATCCTTTCAAAAGTATTTCTTATGAGACCTTTCTTTGGCCAAAAGGCAATATCTGTAAAGTAAAATAATAAATAAAGAAACTAGAGGCTCTCAAGAGCCTGTGTCGCTCACCTGTATTTACTGATGCTTTGGAAATCATGTAAAATAAGGTTAAAATCATAATTAATAGTATTAGATATTAGATATTATAATGATATCTAAGATAATAACAAATAAAAACTGCAAAATTTTTGTAAAATTACTAACTCAGGGGCAGCAACCCAACAACGGGTTGTCGGATTCGTCTGAAAATTTCAGGGCAGATAAATCTAAATCTGATGAACATTTTTGCCACCTGTCAGATTTGCTCTAAATGCTTAAGTTTCAGAGATATAAACCACAAGAGTGCACACGCTGAAATGTCTCGCCTTCTTTACTAATCATTGATATTATGTTGATAGTCCTAAATATAAAGCTTTATTACAACTGTCACATAAACTTATTATTAACCAAGTAAACTAAACATTGACCAATGAACCATGAAAATGAGGTCAAGGTCAGATGAACCATGCAAGGCAGGCATGTACAGCTAACAATTCTTCAATACAACAAATATAGTTGACCTATTGCTTTTAGTTTAAGAAAAACAGACCAAAACACAAAAACTTAACACTGAGCAATGAATCTTGAAAATGAGGTCAAGGTAAAAAAAACCTGCGTGACTGACAAATAGATCATAAAATATTTCCATACACCAAATATAGTTGAACTATTGCATATAGTATTAGAAAAAAAGACCAAAACTCAAAAACTGAACTTTGACCACTGAATCATGAAAATGAGGTCAAGGTCAGATGACACCTGCCAGCTAGACATGTACACCTTACAATCATTCCATACACCAACTATAGTAGACCTATTGCATACAGTATAAGAAAAACAGACCAAAACACAAAAACTTAACTATGAGGTCAAGGTCAGATGACACCTGCCAGTTGGAAATGTACACCTTACAGTCCTTCCATACACCTAATATACTAGACCTATTGCTTATAGTATCTCAGATATGGACTTGACCACCAAAACTTAACCTTGTTCACTGATCCATGAAATGAGGTCGAGGTCAAGTGAAAACTGTCTGACGGGCATGAAGACCTTGCAAGGTACGCACATACCAAATATAGTTATCCTATTACTTATAATAAGAGAGAATTTAACATTACAAAAAATCTTAACTTTTTTTTCAAGTAGTCACTGAACCATGAAAAAGAGGTCAAGGACATTGGACATGTGACTGACGGAAACTTCGTAACATGAGGCATCCATATACAAAGTATGAAGCATCCAGACCTTCCACCTTCTAAAATATAAAGCTTTTAAGAAGTTAGCTAACGCCGCCTCCGCCGGATCACTATCCCTATGTCGAGCTTTCTGCGACAAAAGTCGCAGGCTCGACAAAAAACTGCATTTTACCCCTATGTTCTATTTTTAACCAAGTCGGCCATGATGGTTGGAAGGTGGGATCATCGGACAAATTTTTTAAACTAGATACCCTAATAATGATTATGGCCAAGTATGGTTAAATTAATTTTTCTCAGTAGTTTCAGAAAAGAAGATTTTTGTAAAAGATTACAAAAATTTACAAATAATTGTTAAAAATTTACTATTAAGGGCAATAACTCCTAAAGGGGTCGACTGACAATTTTGGTCATGACAACTTATTTGTAGATCTTACTTTGCTGAACATTATTGCTGTTTACAGTTTATCTCTATCTATAATAATATTCAAGATAATAACCAAAAACTGCAAAATTTCCTTAAAATTACCAATTCAGGGGCAGCAACCCAACAACAGGATGTCAGATTTGTCTGAAAATTTCAGGGCAGATAGATCTTGACCTGATAATCAGTTTTACCTTGTCAGATTTACTCTAAATGCTTTGGTTTTAGAGATATAAGCCAAAATCTACATTTTACCCCTATGGTCTATTTTTAGCAATGGCGGCCATCTTGGTTGGTTGGCGGGGTCATCAGACACATTTTTTAAACTAGATACACTAATGATGATTGTGGCCAAGTTTGGTTAAATTTGGCCCAGTGGTTTCAGAGGAGAAGATTTTTGTAAAAAGCTAACGATGACGAACGACAATGACGACAAGTGATGAGAAATTTATGTATTACTGAAAAATTATTACACCAGTGTTTTCGATATCATAAAGTTGTTAAAACATTTACTAAATTTTATCATCGGTATAAGGACATCATTAGTAAATATAACGCAAAATGCAGACATCTTATACGTTCGGGTATTTCACATCCAATCTTTTATGGTAATATTCTTTACAAAGCACAAAAATGTCAGTATTCACCTCAAAAGCTAACAAAACCTTTAAGCAGACTTATTAAGAAGGGATATAGTTACGATACTGTTGTCAGGTCATTAAAGATTGCATATTTTGGCTTTAATATTGATTCACTTATAGGGTCTTTGCATCGGAATTAAACACATTTATTCTAAAACCAGTTGTTGGCATGACACGGGTTATGTTCTTCTCATATATTTTATGACGGTATATTACTAAACCCCTAACAGGAGGGATTGTGCCTGATATTCATATGATGAAGACATAATCTTTCAATCAATTTAATTGAGGTCTGGAGCTGGCATGTCAGTAACTGCTAGTAGTCTGTTGTTATTTATGTATTATTGTCATTTTGTTTATTTTCTTTTGTTTTCTATTCTGACATCGGACTCAGACTTCTCTTATACTGAGTTTTACTGTGCGTACTGTTGTGCGTTTGTTTTTTACTACATTGGCTAGAGGTATAGGGGGAGGGTTGAGATCTCAAAAAACATGTTTAACCCTGCTGCATTTTTGCGCCTGTCCCAAGTCAGGAGCCTCTGGCCTTTGTTAGTCTTGGATCATTTTTAATTTTAGTTTCCATGTGTATAATTTGGAGTTTAGTATGACATCCATTATCACTGAACTAGTATACATATTTGTTAAGGGGCCAGCTGAAGGACGCCTCCGGGTGCCGGAGTTTCTCGCTGCATTGAAGACCCATTGGTGGCCTTCGGCTGTTGTCTGCTCTATGGTCGGGTTGTTGTCTCTTTGACACATTCCCCATTTCCATTCTCAATTTTATTGTAGATCTAATCTTGCTGATCATGTAGGCTTTTTACGTAACCATCTTTCTTTTATCGTTTTTAACTAAATAGGAAAAAATGCAAAACAAAAGACTAGTAGCATTCGTCATTTAAGGGCAATAACTCCTATAAGAAGTTGCCAGTTGGACAGTGTTGGTGTAAACAGACAGTAGCTTATTAGTAGATCTCAACCTTTTGATACTTTTTGGCCCTGTCTGATTTTCTGTATTTTATTATATTCATGACAATAAACACAAGAGTGCACACGCTGAAATGTCTCGCCTTCTTAACTAATCATTGATATTATGTTGATAGTCCTAAATATAAAGCTTTATTACAACTGCCACATAAACTTAACATTAACCAAGTAAACTAAACATTGACCAATGAACCATGAAAATGAGGTCAAGGTCAGATAAACCATGCAAGGCAGGCATGTACAGCTAACAAATCTTCCATACAACAAATATAGTTGACCTATTGCTTATAGTTTAAGAAAAACAGACCAAAACACAAAAACTTAACACTGAGCAATGAACCTTGAAAATGAGGTCAATTTCAAATAAAACCTGTGTGACTGACATATAGATCATAAAGTATTTCCATACACCAAATATAGTTGAACTATTGCATATATAGTATTAGAAAAAAAGACCATAACTCAAAAACTTAACTTTGACCACTGAACCATGAAAATGAGGTCAAGGTCAGATGACACCTGCCAGCTAGACATGTACACCTTACAATCATTCCATACACCAAATATAGTAGACCTATTGCATACAGTATAAGAAAAACAGACCAAAACACAAAAACTTAACTATAACCACTGAACCATGAAAATGAGGTCAAGGTCAGATGACACCTGCCAGTTGGACATGTACACCTAACAATCATTCCATACACCAAATATAGTAGACCTATTGCATACAGTATAAGCAAAACAGACCAAAACACAAAAACTTAACTATGAGGTCAAGGTCAGATGACACCTGCCAGTTGGACATGTACACCGTACAGTCCTTCCATACACCGAATATACTAGACCTATTGCTTATAGTATCTGAGATATGGACTTGACAACCAAAACTTAACCTTGTTCACTGATCCATGAAATGAGGTCGAGGTCAAGTGAAAACTGTTGGACGGGCATGAGGACCTTGCAAGGTACGCACGTACCAAATATAGTTATCCTATTACTTATAATAAGAGAGAATTTAACATTACAAAAAATCTTTACTTTTTTTTCAAGTAGTCACTGAACCATGAAAATGAGGTCAAGGACATTGTGACTGACGGAAACTTCGTAACATGAGGCATCCATATACAAAGTATGAAGCATCCAGATCTTCTACCTTCTAAAATATAAAGCTTTTTAGAAGTTAGCTAACGCCGCCTCCGCCGCCGCCGGATCACTATCCCTATGTCGAGCTTTCTGCCACAAAAGTCGCAGGCTCGACAAAAAACTTGCATCTCACCCCTATGTTCTATCTTTTGCCATGTCGACCATATTGGATGGCTGACAAGGTCATTAGACTTGTTTTTAAACTAGATACCCTTTTGGTGACTGTGACCAAGTTTGGTTAAGTTTGCTTAGAAGTTTCAGAGCCAAAGATTTTTTGTAAAAGTTAACGGATGACAAGAAACAACAGAATAGTGAGAAAAGGGATGAAAAAATGTTACTAAATAGATCTAAAAATTAGTAAACATAACAGATTGCAATAAAGGAAAAAATGAATATCAAATTTTATGCGACTGTCATGCAAGTGAGAGGTTTAGCTAGGTATAAAACCAGGTTTAATCCACCATTTTCTCCATTAGGAAATGCCTGTACCAAGTCAGGAATATTACAGTCATTTTCCATTCTTTTGATGTGTTTAAGCTTTTTATTTTGCCATTTTATAAAAGACTTTCCAATTTGAATTTTCCTTGAAGTTAAGTATTTATGTTATTTAACCTTTGAGTTCACGAAAGTACATACGTAATTTATATTTGAGTTAAGTGTTTTGTTTTGATTTTCGAATTGGGTCGTTCATTTTATTAGTCCCTGTATTTTTTTTTATGACATTGAATTAAAACGTGTACAGTCTTTAGAAAGACATGTCAACCTAGCTGGACACATTATTCTGACTCGCACCCTACGTGTCTTAGCTCATACTCCTAAATGTTACGTACTTAGCAGAGAAATAGCAAATATCAATGTTCATGTATTTTGTTTGACTGACGACAGAGTTCAAATCCATGGTTGCTGCCAATGAAGGCAAACATGCTACCACAAGACAAACAACTCCATTATTGAAGAGTTATCAAAATGCATATAAATAACTGCTTTGTTAAAGTTGTCAATTGATTTGGTCATATAACTGTTTTGTAGATCTTATATTGCTGATTATTTTTGCCATATGCAGTTTATACTTATATAAATTATATAGTGTTTTCAAAGAAAATAGCAAAACCATGAAAAAATTCCAAAATCCTCAACTTATATGACAATAACTCCTTCTAGGAATGTCCTGAAAATTAGGGAGTAGGTAGATCTTAACATTCTGATCATGTTTGTCCTCGTTATATTTTCCCTATTTATAATACTTCAAGATATTGAGACCATTAACACATTTTATTCTTATGTTCTATTTTTAGCCTTGGCAGCCACGTTGATTTACTGACAGGAATAAAAAAAAAAAAACACTCTTTAGAAGAGATACACCAATTTATTTCAATTTTGGTTGCAACTGTTTGTGAAGTTTCAGAGAAAAATATTTTTTGACATCAACTCATGGCAATTGCCAGGTGAATTTGTCTTAATTTTCTTTCTTTCTTTTCTGTCATTGTGAAAAAAAAGTGTTAATATCAGGCCTTTCAGTCATAAAACTTTCCTTTTTACTCGACATTCAAAATTTGTGTTCCAAACATCAAATCCGTATTATGATTTGATGATTTCTGGGTCTGAGTACCATAATTGTTCTAGAAAGTTTTATGACTGTTAGTCTTGATTTTTGATAGTAAAGATGAATTGTTTGGACATATATCTAGCCTCGGACAATATAGAGATTTAGAGATTATTGACATGTTCTAAAGACTTCTGGCTGTGTTTGATGACCATGAAGTATAAAAGTGGATATTATATCATATAGTACCTGTAACAAAAGATCTCATAACTTCAACCAGAAGTAGTGGACTTATGATCACATAACCTCTCAACTGTGGGGTATCAAAATAGACTATCTTGCCAAGTGAGTGTTGGAAGTAAAGAAAATCACTGAGCTCTTCATTAGACAAGACAGACACTTTGCTGATGGCATTTAATTCTTTAACTTCCAACAATGACAATACTTGTTTCCCCTTTGCTACCAAATTAGCAATCTCAAGTTCAAGGGGAACAGAGGCATTGGGCATTGCCTCTCCCCAACATGGATGTTGAAAGGTAAGATCTGTGATTGCTTTCTTTAGAACATCAATCTCTGGATCTGTTTTGTCTGTTGCATTGACAAATATTTTGTTGTCGATGACCAGATGTTCTCGTCCTTCGTGGTCTTTAAATAACTCTTCTACTCCACTATATAACTCTGTACGCCGTGTTTCAATATCCTCCTATAAAGAAATGCAGAAGTACAGGAGAGTGATAAGATTTTGGGAGGAAATGCAATGTTTGCAATACTTAAGTTCATGTAAAAGAAATTTACCACTATATCACTAATCTAAAATGCAAAGCACGAAGAACAATCATTGATGAGAACAGGCAAAATGACAGTAAGCCGTTTACTTATTATAACATAATTAAATCATCCAAGGGTCATAACTCATGAATGCCAAAATTAAAAATATTTAACGAGACAACATTATATAAAGATTTCAATAGGATTGCATTAAGTGTTCTTGATTATTGCTAAGAATCGATATTAAGTTCAACTTTCCAATGAATCATGAATTAATACCCGCAAACAGCATAGTAAGAATTAATTTGACCACCATTTATTTCTTCATGAGAAACAACATATCAACTTTTGAAAATCATCACGAGTTGGTTGACCGTTATGGAAATATCTGTTTCACAGATGATAGCGGATATGGTACTAATGTGGTAAATACAGTCCCGTCCTCTTTTCACGAATTTAACATACCGAATTAGACTTGTTACCAGGTTTGTACTAACATGAGAAACATGACAGTTGCCACATGTGGAACAGGATCTGCTTACCCTTCTGGAGCAGCTGAGACCCCCCAGCTTTTGATGGGGTTCATGTTGCTTAGTTTTTAGTTTTCCTTCTCTTTCTATATATAATAATATTAAAGATAATACATAACACAAAACTATAAAATTTCCAAAATATTAACTATTTCTGGACAGTAACCCAAAAATAATTGGTCTGAAGATTACTAAACCTGTTTAACACTTTCACCTATGTCAGTTTTGCTTTTACTGCTTTAGTTTTTGAGTTGAAAGCCAAAAACTGCATTTGTCCCCTATGTTCTATTTTTAGAAACTACCACCATGTTTATAAATGGATCAAATCCCTGAATACAATATATAAACTAAATACCCTAAGGAAAATTCTATTAAAGTTTTTAAGTATTTGGCCAAGTAGTTAAAAAGAAGAGGACTTTTGAAAAAAGTAAGTAGACTTTCACAAAAAAATGCAAAAAAAAAAACGTTTTAAGGGCAATAACTCCTAAAAGGTCAATTGATTATTTTGATCATTTTGACTTATTTGTAGATCTAACTTAGCTGAACATTTATTGCCATTTATACTTTCTCTCTATCTATTATAATATTAAAGAAAATAACCAAAAATAATAAAATTTAATAAAAATTAAAGAACCTTTGTGAGCAAGCTCACATACCCCACTCCCCAACATTGTCACTGGACAACAAAATCTCACCAGATTCTTAAGTTCAAAAACTCATTACTCTACAAAAGTCAACTGATAATAATTTTCTTGTGGATATGCACATTTATATAGTATGTAAAGTCCTCATTAACTACAAAGTTTCATGAAATTCTGTTGTGTGGTTTCAGAGAAGTTGTGATGACAAACTGTTGTAGTAGTATACCTGTAATTAGGCCAAAATTCTAAGTTCAAAGGGGCATAACTCATAGAAAAAAAATTCCATCATAATTTCCGATCGATAGGCACATCTACATAGTATGTCCTTATTATCTACAAAGTTTCATGGAATTCTGTTGTGTGGTTTCAGAGGAGTTGCGATGACCAACTGTTGCAGTGGTATACTGTGGCCAAAATTCTAAGTTAAATTCAAACTTTTCTAAAAATGTCCGTTTATAAATTTTGAAATTATAAAGAAACTAAGGTTTCAACTCCCTCAGGCAAAGTTGACCTTAGATGAATTTGGCTATTTGTTTTAGAAATTATTGTCATATAGCTCATCAACTGTTTCGGTACTTATACATCCCTCGGAATTCAAATGTTTGGCATTGAGCGTTCTTGATGAAGGTTAATCCAGAAAAGCGCTTCGAACGCATGAAATTATTAAATGTGTTGCTTTCAATTTTTTAAAGGGGCATAACTCCTAGAAAAAAAATTGAATCGGAATTTCCTGTCGATATGCACATCTACATGATCTACATATATAGTATGTCCTTATTATCTAAAAAGTTTCATGAAATTATGTTGTGCGGTTTCAGAGGAGTTGCGTTGACAAGCACAGGACTGATGGACTGACAGACGAACGGACGGACAGACAGACGGGTCAAAAACATTATACCCTCCGCAACTTTGTTGCTTGGGGTATAATAAACTATTTCCAACTGTTACCCAACAATGGGTTGTCGAACTTATCTAAAAATTTCATACAGATAGATAATGACCCATTTATCACTTTAACTCCCATTCACCTTTGCTCTGACTGCTGTCGTTTTTTTAGATATAAGCCAAAAGCTGCTTTTGTCCCCTATGTTCTATTTTTAGCCATGGCGGCCATGTTTGTTGATGGATCAACACTTTGGATACAATTTATAAATCAGATACCATAAGGAACATTCAGTTAAAGTTAAGAAGTTTTAGGCCTAGTAGTTTCAGAGGAGAAGATTTTTAAATGTTAGCAAAATGTAAAATTTTCTTTAAAGGGCAATAACTCCTCCAGGGGTCAATTTACTATTTTACCACCAAATTGTTTTGTAGATCTTACTTTTCTGGACATTTTTGCTGTTTACAGTTTATTTTTATCTTCAATAATATTCAAGATAATAATAACCCAAAACTGCAAAAATTCCTTACAACAAGAAATGATTGTAACAGGATGCTGTTACGAAGTCTCCCAAACGAAGCTCCCATAATTCGTCATTCCTATAGTTGCCTGAAATTGGACAAAGTCCAGTACAAATTGGTTTGGTCCAGTAAAGTGATATGCATTAGTGACGCCTAGGGACTGACCTTGCATGTCATTCAAATCTATGTGAAATGACGAACAGGAATATATATATGGTTTAGGTGTGGGGATCTCGACCATTTACAAGATATTAGAACATTTGGATTGGGGTGACCCCTGTGGACTGACCCTATATATCATTCAAATCTTTGTGACATGACAATCATGAATATATATGGTCTAGGGGTGGGGATCACGACCATTTACAAGATATTAGAACATTTGGGGTTGGGAGAACCCCTGGGGACTGACCCTATATATTATTCAAATCTTTGGAACATGACGAACAGGAATATATATGGTTTACGGGTGGGGATCTCAACCAATTACAAGATATTAAAACATTCAGGGTGGGGGAAACCCCTGGGGACCTTTCCTATATATCATTCAAATATTCACGACATGACAAACAAGTATATATATGGTTTAGGGGTGGGGATCTCAACCATTAACAAGATATTTGAACATATTCAAATGACTGGGGGTGGAGATGACCCCTTGGGTCTTACCATGTTTATCATTTAAATCATCTTGGCATGACAAACCAACATATGTATGGTTTAGGGGTGGGGATCCTGACAACTTACAAGATATTAGAACTTTTTAAAATGGCAGGGGGTCGGGACGACCCCTGGGGACTAACCCTGTTAATCATTCAAATCATCTTGGCATGACAAACCAGAATATATATGATTAAGGGGTGGGGATCTTGACCACTTACAAGATATTAGAACGTTCTCAAATGGTAGGGGGTTGGGACGACCCCTGGGGACTAACCCTGTTAATCATTCAAATCATCTCGGCATGACAAACCAGAATATATATGGTTTAGGGGTGGGGATTTTGACCACTTCCAAGATATTAGAACTTTCTTAAATGGCAAGGGGTGGGGATGACCCCTGTGGACTAACCCTGTATTTTATTTGATGTGCTTTATCATGACAAACCAAAATATATATGGTTTAGGGGTGGGGATCTTGACCACTTCCAAGATATTAAAACTTTCTCTAATGGCATGGGGTCGGGTAGACCCCTGGGGACTAACCCTGTTTATCATTCAAATCATCTTGGCATGACAAACCAGAATATATATGATTAAGGGGTGGGGATCTTGACCACTTACAAGATATTAGAACTTTCTCAAATGGTAAGGGGTCGGGACGACCCCTGTGGACTAACCCTGTTTATCATTCAAATCATCTCGGCATGACAAACCAGAATATATTAGGTTTAGTGGTGGGGATTTTGACCACTTCCAAGATATAAGAACTTTCTCAAATGGCAGGGGGTGGGGATGACCCCTGGGGACTAACCCTGTATTTTATTTGGTGTGCTTTATCATGACAAACCAAAATATATATGGTTTAGGGGTGGGGATCTTGATCACTTCCAAGATATCAAAACTTTCTCTAATGGCATGAGGTCGGGTAGACCCCTAGGGACTAACCCTTTTATCATTCAAATCTTCTCGGCATGACAAATCAGAATATATATGGTTTAGGGGTGGGGATCTTGACCACTTACAAGATATTAGAACTTTCTGAAATGGCAGGTGGTCCGGACACCCCTGGGGCCTAACCCTGTTTAACATTCAAATCATCTCGGCATGACAAACCAGAATATATATGGTTTAGGGGTGGGGATCTTGGCCACTTCCAAGATATTAGAACTTTCTCAAATGCCAGGGGGTGGGGATGACCCCTGGGGACTAACCCTCTATTTCATTTGATGTGCTTTATCATGACAAACCAAAATATATATGGTTTAGGGATGGGGATCTTGACCACTTCCAAGATATTAAAACTTTCTCTCATGGCAGGGGGTGGGGGTAACCCCTGGGGACTAAGCTTTTATATCATTTAATGTGCTTTATCATTTAGAACATTTTCAATTATAAATATTGTGGGTATCACTAACTGTTATAATCATTTGAAAATAAAAAAAAATAAAATCCCATAGGGTTCTATAGTAAACCCCTCCTTCCTTTATGCCCCTCAAAGTACCCCTTTATAAACCCCATTGCACAAACAAAACCCTGATTGCACCACTAGACATGTTAGTCTAACATATTGTGAAACCCTAAGTTAATCTGACCAGTGGTTTTGGAGAACGGGTGCGGACAAGTTCGGCGGAAGAAGAAGAAGAAGAAGAAGAAGAAGAAGAAGAAAAATAATAAGAACTGAGCAAAACCAATAAGTCTCAATAAGTATCCCCAAACTTCGTTTGGAAGACTTTATTACCAATTTAATGGCAGCTGGTTCGTCTAAAAATTTTAGTGCTGATAGATCTTGACCTATTGAACATTTATATCCCTTGTCAGATTTGCTTTAAACGCTTAAGTTTTTGAGATATAAGCCAACAACTGCATTTGACCCCTATTTTGTATTTTTAGCCATGGCGGCCATGTTTGTTGATGAATCAAAAACTTCGGATATAATTTATACACTAGATACCCTAAGGAACATTCAGTTAAGGTTTGAAGGTATTTGGCCCAGTAGTTTCAGAGAAGATTCTTGAAATAGTTTACGACGACGATAGAAATTCCTTAATTAGATTAATTTTAATCTGCTGAAGTGACATTTACATTTGACAGTAGTCTTTTGTATGATAAGATGACTGTTATCCACAATTAATCTGATATTTGGCTATAACATATTTTTTTTAGACAAACCTTTTACCTAAAGTTTGGTTTATTATTAAGCAATTACCCAAAAATAAAGGAATTTTTCCTTTACAATGGGCATATCAAGCGAATGTTGAAGGTTTGACAAATGGTTTAAACGATTTTACACATAAACTTAACTACCCTGTTTTGTGGTCTATCGTTTTGTATTTTGTGACCATTACAACAAAAGATGTTTTTTTTTCCACTACATTATAACTTATACAGCAAAAATAATATTCTTGCTGTTTCAAAGCGATGTGTGCCAAAGCTAATGAAACTCCATAAAAAGAAGCATTGACTTGCTATGATAATTAGATACCATTAAACTGATCTTATCCCAAACTTTTGACATGTACACACTGCAAAAGATTCAAAATCAATCAACCAGGAAAATAAATTGTATCAATGATATAACAACTTCATACCAAATATCATTGCCATTAGTGGTTCACTACAAACTTACCGAATTACTAACTCAAAAAAATTGTTCACATTTGGTGACTCATAAACCACACACCTATTATCACTTCTGCAACTAAGCCACAGTAGAGACCACAATTATTATGAATAAGCCAATTTGTACAAAAGCAAACTTTGAAATTTATGTAATTTCCAGTTTCAACTGACCATGTTGGACTACCAAGACCATGTTGGACTACCAATATGCCGGTAGACCAATCCCAAAAAGTACACACCATCTAGTTTCAATAATAGGTTGACTGTTGGTATCTCACAACTCAGTATTGACAGGCTAGTAGAGAATGATATGTATAACTTAAATTAATAAGTTTGATTGACGGCTGTCATTTTCTTTATCATCAATCATGTGGCCATTTTGCTGAATTGTTTGTGTAAATAAGTGCTGTAAAGAATACCTTTATACCAGCTTACATTATCTAACGTATGCCTTTGTACCAGCGTACACTATCTAACGTATGCCTTTATACCAGTGTACACCATCTAAAGAATGCCTTTATATCAGCTAACATTAGTTCACTTACTTTTGTTACTTTGTCTTTATGAGTAGCAACAAACAAAATCTTTGGAATGCCTGTATATACTGCCTTACAATAGGTAAGGATACAGTTGACCCAGTGTTGTAAAAATACTGAAAAAAAACATATGAACATAATATGAACATTTGCATTTCCTGGTCAACTCTATCAGCCACATATATCATTATTCAGGTCTTATAGCTTGTTTCAGTTTGCCATTTCAATAACATAAATATTTTTTAAGACTTGATTAATCTTGCAAGTAGTTAGATTAACAATAAAAATCATTGTCAATTGTTTCAATATGAGTTTGAAACCAGCTTTTTAAATCACAAAAGATGAAACTTAACTTATCATTATAAACTGCAATGTGTATTATACAGAGTGCATTTATTTTTGTAGAGATAATTGTGTGTGTTTTTGTTGTATTGACTAGTTTGCAGGAGGTCTTTGTCAAACATGGAAAATTAAACACAGGGTCAATTTTTCAAAGTGAAAAATCAATAACTTGGTAGGAATAAAACATGTTAGAAATATTTTTAAACACTTTTACTCAGCCATGGAAAATTGAACCCCCTCTAGTTCTATAGACCTCAGATTTTCAAGTTGTCATGGCATCTTCATCACCTACTGTATATAGTTATGATGTTTAACCTAATGTACATTGGACATTCATTTAAAGAAAAAACAGGGGGCTGTCAATTTTCCAGAGGGGGGATCAACTATCCATGGGGCGTTCAATTTCCAGCTTTGGAAAAATTGACCATGAGTTCAATTTTCAGGGGGTTCAATATTCCATATGACATCGGTCCAGATGGAACCATGCAATGACAGTACATAGAAATGATATTTGTTGTGTCTCTGCAAAGTATTTTGCATTTAGGGCCGCGGTTAAAGCAAAGAGTGAGTCATAATAATGATTTCAAGTAGAAATACGTGTCTTCCTGTGGACGGTTACTTTGCAAAATAGTCAGTATGAAAGTTGCATCCAGTATGTCTGTACAGGCCTCTTAATTATCATTTTTCTAACTTGTTCATTTGGAGAGAAGCTGCAAGGAAATCAACTTGTCCGACCTTCTAACTCACTTGCCCAAAGTCAAGGTTAAAAATCTTACGTATTGATAATATGCACAGTCACACATTGGGCTTTAAGCGTACCTGATGAAGGTAGTATTTTCTTGTGTTTTTGTCTGTAACTAAAAAAGAATATTGCTTCAAAAATTGTTTGATTATTTAAGAAGGTTATTGCCATTCCAAAGTAAGTTCTCTGACTCAATGTCACTATCATGTTTGGAATTTATTATGGACTCAATTATGATCACTGCCTTAATCATCAGGTTAAAAATACCTTGCGAACCCCATCTGATTAAAACATATTAAAGATCGCGATTCCAAACAGCTGGATCTCTCTGGATTTATCACTTGATATGAAAGCTTCCGTCTGTCATAGATATAAGAAGATGTGGTATGAGTGCAAATGAGACAACTCTCCATCCAAGTCACAATTTGTAAAAGATAAACTGTTATCACAGAGATATGTCTGGCTTTTTTGTAATTTTGATTATGCAAATGTTGAAATTAAAATGGCAATACTTAACAAGTTAGGCTAATATTCAAAGTCAAAGAACCATGTCTGAGGTACATGAGCATGATGGCTAAACCATCTCCATCTAAATGAGATGCGCCAATGCTAATACAACTGCATACCAAATATCATTGACTTATTATAAGTTGTTCCCTTTAAACAAACCTAAATAAATTGTTCAAATAAGGTCTTTGAAAATAGTGGAGTTAATTACTTTTGGAGTGTCAAAATTCGTTGGAAGTACTTGATAAATTACATGCTTATATTGGTGATTTCAAATCTGTTCAAAGTTTCTACCCTATATACCACGTTGCCTCATAATCTTATTAAGAAAAAATTCACACACCTGATTAAATGGGCATTTAAAAAGTCGGAATGCGAAAAATATATATGTTTAAACTCTTTTAGGTCATTTATTAGTAACAACAAACAAAAGAACTATGTCAATTGGACCTGCTTTGATACTATAATTGCCCTTGAATTTTTACTATAGAACATTTTTGTTTGCTATGGAGATTCCGTATATCGTCAGGTTATCAGAATTCCCATGGGGACTAACTGTGCACCACCTCGATCTTGATATCTTTATCTTTAACGGGAAACTTAACACCAAAATTTATGATGAAAGAGATGATTTTTCATTTCCTATTGTTTATTATCCATTTTTAGATGGTGACGTTCCCTTGTCGCCATCTTATGGTGTTTATATATCTCAACTTGTTCGATTCGCTTGGGTATGTAACAAGGTATTTGATTTCAACGAAAGAAATCTCTGTATTACTGAAAAATTATTACACCAGAGTTTTCGATATCACAAACTAATCAAAACATTTACTAAATTTTATCATCGTTACAAGGACATCATTCGTAAATATAAATCAACATGCAGACATCTTATACGTTCCGGTATTTCACATCCAATATTTTATGGTAATATTTTTGACAAAAGCACAAAAATGTCAGCTATCACCTCAAAAGCTAACCAAACCTTTAAACAGACTTATTCAGAAAGGATATAGTTACGATACTGTTGTCAAGTCATTAAGGATTGCATATTTTGGTATTAATATTGATTCACTCATAGGGTCTTTGCATCGGAAATAAACACATTTATTCTAAAACCAGTTGTTGGCATGATACAGGTTATGTTCTTCTCATATAGTTTATGGTGGTATAATACTAAACCCCTAACGGGAGGGATTGTACTTGATTTTCATATGATGAAGACCTAATCTTTCAATCAGTTTAGTTGAGGTTTGGAGCTGGCATGTCAGTAACTGCTAGTAGTCCTTTGTTTATTTATGTATCATTGTCATTTTGCTTAGTTTCTTTTGTTACCTATTCTGACATCGGACTCGGACTTCTTTTAAACTGAGTTTTACTGTGCGTATTGCTATGTGTTTCTTTTTTCTACATTGACTAGAGGTATAGGGGGAGGGTTGAGATCTCACAAAACATGTTTAACCCCGCCAAATTTTTGCGCCTGTCCCAAGTCAGGAGCCTCTGGCCTTTGTTAGACTTGTATGTTTTTTAAATTTAGTTCATTTATATTTTTGGAATTTAGTGTGACGTCCATTTTCACTGAACTAGCACACAATTTTATTTAGGGGCCAGCTGAGGACCACCTCTGGGTGCGGGATTTTCTCGCTGCATTGAAGACCCATTGGTGGCCTTCGGCTGTTGTCTGCTCTTTGGTCGGGTTGTTGTCTCTGTGACATACTCCCCATTTCCATTCTCAATTTTACTAAACACAAACATTAACTTGTAAACTATTTAAAAGTTTCAAAGTCAACAAACCATGAAGAGGGAGTGGAGCTGTATAATCTCCGTGGAAACTAAGCAAAAGTTTCAAAGTCAATAGGCCATGACTGAGGGGATGGGTCCAAAGATTATCCATTAAAATGAGATGTGCTAATGCTTATACAACTGAATACCAATTAACATTGGCCTTCCACTAATGGTTCCCATTGAACTGACCTAATCACAAACTAATACATGTTAACTTAGCAAAATTTTCAAAGTCAATAGACCATGACTAAGGGGGCTGAGCCAAATAATCTCCATGGAAATGAGATATAACAATGCTTATACAACAACATACCAAATATCATTGACCTACCACTAATGGTTCCTCATAAACTGACCTAATCACAAACTAATACATGGAAAATAAGCAAACGTTTCAAAGTCAATAGACCATGACTGATGGGGCAGGGCCAAATAATTTCCATGGAAATGAGATGTGCCAATGCTAATACAACTGTATACCAAATATCATTGACCTACCACTAATGATTCCCCATAAACTGACCTAATCACAAACTAATACATGTAAAATAAGCAAAAGTTTCAAAGTCAATAGACCATGACTGAGGGGGCAGGGCCAACTAATACATTGTTGAGTTCATTAAAGATGTAGGATCTGGTTTTAGAATGGTAAAGTTCAACAATGATGATGCATAATGGACACATGAATGTTATTTTCCCATTTATCTCAATTTCATAAACTAGAGGCTCTCGAGAGCCTGTGTCGCTCACCTGACTCTACTTTGGTTTTAGAAATCATGTAAAGATAGATAAAAATCATAACAGATACCCAAATAATGATTGAGGCCAAATTTTGATTAATATTGGTCCCGTTATTTAATAAAATATCCTGGTGGCCATCTTGAACAGTAAATCGGCAACAAAGTAGCAACACTTGGTCAGCACTTCATAAGGAACATTCATGCCATGTTTGGTTTCATTCCATTCAGTGGTACTCTAAAAGAAGACATTTGTATGTATTTCCCATAGGGTCCTATGTTAAACTAAGCCCCCCGTTGGCGGCCATCTTGGATGATGGATCGGCTACAAAGTAACAACACTTGGTCAGCATCTCATAAGGAAGATTCATGCCATGTTTGGTTTCATTCCATTCAGTGGTTCTCTAAAAGAAGACATTTGTATGTATTTCCCATAGGTCCTTTGTTAAACTAAGTCCCCTGCTGTCGGCCATCTTGGATGATGGACCGACTGCAAAGTAACAACACTTGGTCAGCACCTCATAAGGAACATTCATGCCATGTTTGGTTTCATTCCATTCAGTGGTTCTCTAAAAGAAGACATTTGTATGTATTTCCCATAGGGTCCTATGTTAAACTAAGTCCCCCGCTGGCGGCCATCTTGGATGATGGATCGGCTACAAAGTAACAACACTTGGTCAGAACCTCATAAGGAACATTCATGCCATGTTTGGTTTCATTCCATTCAGTGGTTCTCTAAAAGAAGTCATTTGTATGCATTTCCCATAGGGTCCTATGTTAAACTAAGTCTCCGGCTGGCGGCCATCTTGGATGATGGATCGGCTACAAAGTAACAACACTTGGTGAGCACCTCATAAGGAACATTCATGCCATGTTTGGTTTCATTCCATTCAGTGGTTCTCTAAAAGAAGACATTTGTATGTATTTCCCATAGGGTCCTATGTTAAACTAAGTCCCCCGCTGGCGGCCATCTTGGATGATGGATCGGCTACAAAGTAACAACACTTGGTGAGCATCTCATAAGGAACATTCATGCCAAGTTTGGTTCCATTCCATTCAGTGGTTCTCTAAAAGAAGACATTTTTATGTATTTCCCATAGGGTCCTATGTTAAACTAAGTCCCCCGCTGGCGGCCATCTTGGATGATGGATCGGCTACAAAGTGACAACACTTGGTCAGCACCTCATAAGGAACATTCATGCCATGTTTGGTTTCATTCCATTCAGTGGTTCTCTAAAAGAAGTCATTTGTATGCATTTCCCATAGGGTCCTATGTTAAACTAAGTCCCCGGCTGGTGGCCATCTTGGATGATGGATCGGCTACAAAGTGACAACACTTGGTTAGCACCTCATAAGGAACGTTCATGCCATGTTTGGTTTCATTCCATTCAGTGGTTCTCTAAAAGAAGACATTTGTATGTATTTCCCATAGGGTCCTATGTTAGACTAAGTCCCCCGCTGGCAGCCATCTTGGATAATGGACCGACTGCAAAGTAACAACACTTGGTCAGCATCTCATAAGAAACATTCATGCCATGTTTGGTTCCATTCCATTCAGTGGTTCTCTAAAAGAAGACATTTGTATGTATTTCCCATAGGGTCCTATGTTAAACTAAGTCCCCCGCTGGCGGCCATCTTGGATGATGGATCGGCTACAAAGTAACAACACTTGGTGAGCACCTCATAAGGAACATTCTTGCCATGTTTGGTTTCATTCCATTCAGTGGTTCTCTAAAAGAAGACATTTGTATGTATTTCCCATAGGGTCCTATGTTAAACTAAGTCCCCCGCTGGCGGCCATCTTGGATGATGGACCGACTGCAAAGTAACAACACTTGGTCAGCATCTCATAAGGAACATTCATGCCATGTTTGGTTCCATTCCATTCAGTGGTTCTCTAAAAGAAGACATTTGTATGTATTTCCCATAGGGTCCTATGTTAAACTAAGTCCCCCGCTGGCGGCCATCTTGGATGATGGATCGGCTACAAAGTAACAACACTTGGTGAGCACCTCATAAGGAACATTCATGCCATGTTTGGTTTCATTCCATTCAGTGGTTCTCTAAAAGAAGTCATTTGTATGCATTTCCCATAGGGTCCTATGTTAAACTAAGTCCCCCGCTGGCGGCCATCTTGGATGATGGATCGGCTACAAAGTAACAACACTTGGTCAGCACCTCATAAGGAACATTCATGCCATGTTTGGTTTCATTCCATTCAGTGGTTCTCTAGAAGAAGTTCAAAATGTAAAAAGTTAACGCCGACGACGGACGACGACGGACGACGCCGGACGACGCCGGACGACGACGGACGACGACGGACGACGGACGACGGACGCCAAGTGATGAGAAAAGCTCACTTGGCCCTTCGGGCCAGGTGAGCTAAAAAATAAGGAAAGCAAAATGTCTCAAACAGGACTGTTGAATGGCAATAAGGGTGACTGAAGTAGAATTTCTGAATAGGTCAATGATGTAATGAATAGTTTTATTATATTACCTGCTGGGGTTGGAGTCATATGCTGCCCAGGAAAACACAACACATCAGGAACCTGTTCATGTAATCCTTTGCTTCCATCAAATACAACAAGAAACAAAGCTCTATAGGTCATGAAGGTCTGGTGTGTTGTATAATAGACATACTGTCCACCAAAGTCCCAGAAGATTAGTCGTCCAACTTTCATCTTGTATTTTCCACTCTTTAGGACTTTTTCCATTTTTCTTCTGATTTCATCTTTAGTCATCTTTGCTTTCATTTTCTGTTTCAGCTGCTGTCGTGATAGAGGCACAATGGAGGACACCTGAGGTGATAACGTTAGGGCTGCTGGAGGTTGGTCGGAGAGATTATCTGATGTATTTGATGGAAGAGGCAATGATATGGCTTGTGACTGCTGTAGGAGAACACCTGGATTTACCATTTCATCTTTACTTCCAGAAGGACTTGTATCTGATGCTTGTTGTTGGTCCAACTTTTCTTTTGGATTAGGTTCCTTTTCTTTTCTCGAGGTCATTAATACCTTATTGTATACAACATCCATGGCATTATAAGTTTCTGTATGAAAAAAAAACACACCACTGTATAGAATTATAAAAAGATAGATATAAATGCTAATTTTTATATGAAGTGCTTCTTTCGCTTTGTACATAAGAGGGTAATACAATTCTATACATATATATATACCTACCGCAGATGTACGTGACTGTTACAATTTACCTACACGTAAATCCTCATGTATAATAACCTATGTTCCTACACTTTGTCAATTTCACTGGGTTAAAATTGAAATTAAAAACAAGAGTACAAATGCTAAAATGTTTCGGCTGCTTTACTAACCATGATTGATTTAATGTTGACAGTCTTGAAAATAAGGCTAACACTTGGTATAAAATTTCAATTTTAAACAGCTCAGGCCATGCGAAAATGTCAAACAAATCTATGGCTTGCATGCATATTTTTCAAATTGCATGTACATAACTTATACATATTTTTAATACAAAAATTACAATAAAAAAAAACCCAAACCCCTCCCCCTTCCAAAAATAAAAACCACTAAAAAACCTAGTAAAATCAAAGTGTGTAAGGAGTTCCACAAAACTATGTTTCCTGCCTGCAGCTGCTGTTGTTATTGAACTATTGTTTAAAAAACTTAATCCATTTATTAAGAAAAATACAGGAAAATGGAAAAAAAATGTTTCGTGTGCTATTTCTTGATTCTGAGAGATTCTGTCATAATTGCCATACATATAAAAAGTAAGGAACCTTTGTGAGCAAGCTCTCATACACCATGATCTCATTTTGTCACTGGCAAACAAAATCTCACCAGATTCCTAAGTTCAAAGACTGATAACTCAAACAAAAGTCATCTGATAACGTTTTTTTTGTGGATTTGTATATCTACATATTACGTCCCCATTAACTACAAAGTTTCATGAAATGCTGCTGTGTTGTTTCAGAGGAGTTGCACTGACAAACTGTTGCAGTAGTATATTTAGTTCAAAATTCTAAGTTAAAAGGGACTTAACTCTTAGAAAATAAATTCAATTTATTTTCTGTCGATATGCCCATCTACATCATGTACATAGTATGTCCTTAATATCAACAAAGTTTCATGAAATTCTACTTTGTGGTTTCAGACGAGTTGAGATGACACACTGTAGCAGTAGTATGTTTTGTCCAAAATTATAAATTCAAAGGGATATAACTCCTAGAAAAAACATGAATCCTTATTTCCTGTTGATATGCACATCTACATAGTATATATCCTTTTAATCTACAAAGTTTTATGAATTTATGTTGTATGGTTTCAGAGGAGTTGCGATGACAAAAACAGGAAGGACAGACGGACTGACAGACTGATGACATAATAACGGGTCAAAAACATGAGACCTATCCATCAGAGATCAAGTGAAGTTTTATAAATAAATGCGGAATGTGTCAATGGGACAGAGATGATGCCCCCGCTTGCATAAAATGTTATAAATGGACATAACTCAAGAACAGTAAATAAAGGCAACAGTAGTATACCTGTGTTCAAAAGTCATAAATCGATTGAGAGAAAACAAATCTGGGTTACAAACTAAAACCGAGGGAAACACATCAACTATAAGAGGATTACAAAGGAACATCAGGAACACTGAAGTGCAACAAAAACAAACGCCAATATACATAGAAACGAACTATTTGATAACAACTGCCATATTCCTGACTTGGTACAGGACCGTTTAAGAAAAAAATGATGGGTAGAACCTGGTTTCATGGCTAGCCAAACCTCCCGCTTATATGACAATGTTAAAAAATATTGCTCAAATGACAACACAACAGAAATACAGCACAAACACACGCAAGAACACTCATCACAGAGAAACGCACAAACAAATAATATAATAGTCCACACAACATGCAAACCGCAGAACAACAACGAACATCTTCCATCAACAACAGACACCACAGGACATCACAAACAGTGACGCACTTACGTAAGGAACATGCAATCTCTTTATACAATTATTTTTACAATACCAGTCCAAACAATTTTCATGACAATGATGGTATTGAAAGGCAATTCTATAATTATTTTGACTACAAACGATAAAACATAACACATTATTCAATCGAAACCATAACAGAAACATCAAAAATAAATACATGAATGTTGGATGTGCAAAATACCAAGACACTTCGTATAGCAATGCAAATTCACACTCGGTATAACAGTCACATTCAGGAAAAGGTCTCGTTCAGTATTTAGCAGACAGACGACAGAGATGTTAAACCACAATCTAAGACGTGGTAAAAATGTCATTAGTTAGTTTAGACACAGACACATAGTGTAGATCAACCAATTCGTGATGGTGTCCATAAAATTTACGGAGTGTCATTTTAATCTCACCTCCTCATAACTCAGTTGGAGCAGTTTCTGCGTAAGGAGCACACTCCTGTATATGAAGTCAGTATAGTGTGAATATGTACGAGCATAAAAAGTAAAAGTGACGCTACCCAAAATTTAACTTGATCAGAGTTTTGTGGTAATAAGCATTATGTATGAGTTTCATAACAATTGGTTGAAGCAAACTTAAGTAAGAAAACGAAAACGAAAAATTCTGCAATTTTTCTATTTGCAGTGTTCTCAATAAGAGACGGCAACCGGCAAAACCAGCTGCATATTGCGTGTGTCGTACATCTTTTTTCTACTAACTGGTTCCGAGTCGTCCGCCAGTCGTAAATAATACAATAGTAAACGTTAACCAGTTTCAAATCATTTGAGCGTTTGAAACAAAGGGATATAATCTGTACAAATCTAGATTGATGTTGATGCGGATATTTTAGACAGATCGTTACAAACTCAAACACGAAAAGAACGATCAGTGACTACTTTTAGCTTTCGCCGGCTTTACAGTCAAGCAAAGATAAGAAAGCTCGCTAAGTGTATTCATACATGGATTTAAACCTGTGTGTATACATGTATTTTATTGTATAATCACTGAAGTATAAAGTAAATTAAAACACGGTGAAATCAGTCCGCATCTGACGAATTCTTGTCACTTCGGAACCTGGTTAAATCGGCACCCGGTATACTCAATTCGGCACCTAGTCAAATATGTGTTGAATATATATTGTTTTTAATATTTTAAGCAAAAAGATTAAAGTATTCAAAGAATAGGGATGGCCAGAATGAATCGTTCTTTTTGTTTAGTTGTGTATTTTCTTCGGGCAACTATATGTGTATTCAAGGTACTGGATATTTATTATGCATGTTTTAACCAGTTGATATTGATGACAGGGACTCATAGTTTGTCCTTTTATTGCGTCTTATTTCTTTCATGATTAAACAACAGCATGGGTAATGGCTTAATTGTTTTTTATTTAAGTTTTTGAACAAAAAACATCAATAACTATCTGTATAGAGTTAAGACAACAGACATGTTAGTTATTTAAATGATATAAGTTATTAATTAATTAATTGAAAAAAAAACAAATCAAATCAAAACATCAGTCATCATGGTCATAGGAGTTAAAAAAAATTTCAAACAATGTACTTCTTCCCCTACAGAAAAAAAAGTTGAGGGCCAGTTGAGGGCCATGTGGCGGACAGTTGAGGGCTAGCTGTTTTAAGCAAAATAGTTGAGGGCTAGGTGTTGAGCATCTTAGCTCAACTCAAACCTGGCCAAGCACTGTATGTTTGATAGATGTCGCTCAACTGGCCCTCAACTGAAGCTGGTCATTAAGTTGAGGAAAAGTTGAGCAATTGATCTTTGGTTTTCATATAGTTGAGCAAAAGTTGAGCATTCAGACTTTGAATTTTTTGTAGTTGAGGAAAAGTTGAGCATTCAGACTTTGATTTTTTTTGTAGTTGAGGAAAAGTTGAGCAATTGATCTTTGGTTTAACTTTTCATATAGTTGAGCAAAAGTTGAGCAATTAGAGCTGGTGATATAAATGTTATGTGCCATCTGGTTTCCATTTATCTCTGTGTATAATGCAAGTAGACAGGAAGTACTATTATAAATGTACACAGAGTTTGAGGCCAAATTAAGGGCAGCACATCTTTTTATACATTTTTCTGTATTTTAACTTAACTATAACTCATAACATAAAGATAAATTAAAAAAACAAACAGTATTTTTTTTATTATAAGATATATCAAATATTCATGATTTAGGTAATTAACAGTTATTATTAGGGGCAAATTTCAAAGGGATCACACTGTCAAAATACCCTAAACAACCTCAAACATTTAAAATGTTAACTGGGCTTGAGCATGCACATGGCAAGCAAAGATGTCTTCTAGCTATCATGAATAAAATATGAATTTTACAATGGATGTAGATCAAAAAGTTACAAATAACTGTATTGACATTGAATAGTGCAGTGTATTCTTCTGATGACATGACTCTTGGATTTAGGAAGATTGATGTTTTAACACATATTTATGGAAACATCTTTTGGTAAGTACATTGGATTAGAATTTCCACCATTTTGAATAAGTGTATATGCTCTTTTAGTTCAAAATAGTGATATTTAAAGTGTCTTCTTAACTTTTTAGAGTGAAGAAAAATTTTAGACAATATATTTATGCATTAATTTATATATTATCAAAATGTGTAAGACAGGAGACATATTTATTTTATTATTAAGACCATTTGTTTTAGAAAATATTACTAATAAAATAAGAATATTCTAATATAATGAATTTGGTATAAAACTAGAGATCTGGGGTATGACTGCAAATAAGACATCTATCCACAAATGACAGATAAATATATATAATTTTTTTCTGGTTGAACAACACTTTCTGTTTTGAGTATTTCAATATATATCTAAATACTTCTCCTTGCATAAAGATTAATATGGCTGCAGGATTAACTGGATTTTATTTACTAGATAATAACTTTTAAAAAGCAAGGATAAAGCCGTCATGTAGTCTGTTGTGTGTTAAGATCTTTCAACAGTATTTTGGCTATATAAAATACACAATTTAAATTTATTTTTTCTACAATGTGTAGTCATCAGTTTGCAATGACCAGATACATGTAATGCTCAACTTTTAAAGACC